CGAGGATTGAAGAAAGACGTAGCCGATTTTGTAAGAAGATGTTTAAGCTGTCAGCAGGTCAAAGCCGAGCATAAGAGTCCCATAGGCCTTCTTCGACCACTGCCGATTCCAAAGTGGAAGTGGGAGGAGATTGCGATGGATTTTGTCACGGGGTTACCAAGGTCGTCTGAACATCACGACGCTATCTGGGTCGTGGTCGACAGATTGACTAAAGTGGCTCATTTCTTACCAGTATCGATGAGTATGTCTTTCGATAGGTTGGCTGAGATTTATGTCCGTGGGATCGTTCGACTCCATGGAGTACCTGTTACTATCGTGTCAGACAGAGATTCTAGATTCACCAGTAGATTCTGGCAGAGTTTACACGAGGCGATGGGTACGAAGCTAGCATTCAGTTCAGCCTACCATCCCCAGACCAACGGACAGACAGAGCGGACTATACAGACGCTGGAGGATATGTTGCACGCTTTGGTTGTTGACAGGGGTGCTAAATGGGAGTCGTTATTACCGTACGTCGAGTTTGCGTACAACAACAGTTATCATTCTTCTATTCAGTCCCCTCTTTATTGGGACGACGTCGGCGAACGTCGAGTACTCGGTCCGAAGCTGATCGAGGAGACAGCAGAACAAGTCGAGTTGATCCGGCAGAGACTCAGAACAGCTCAGAGTAGAATAAAATCAACCGCCGATCATCATCGACGAGATATCCAATTCGAGGTTTGCGAGCACGCTTTTCTCAGAGTCAGTCCATTTCGCGGAGTTATTCGATTCGGGAAGAGAGGGAAGTTACACCCTCGGTTCATTGGCCCGTTCAAAGTACCAGAGCGAGTGGACGATGTTGCGTATCGTTTAGCCTTACCTCCCGAGTTATCCAGTGTTCATAATGTCTTTCATGTGTCTATGTTACGCAAGTACGTGTGCGACCCCGATCATGTCATTCCTCATACTGATATTAAGATTCATCCAGACTTATCTTACGAGGAGCGACCGGTAGCTGTGTTGGACCGGCAGGTTCGACGGCTCCAGAAGCGTGATGTTCCCCTCGTTCGTATTCAGTGGGATCTCCACAGAGCTACTTGGGAGCAGGAGGCTGACATTCGCGCTCGTTTTCCCGATTTTCAGTTTTGATGTGTATATCTTTTATGTATATATGTTCAGTTTTATATTTCCGAGGACGGAAATATTTTAAGGGGGGTAGATTGTAATAACCCAACTTCTTATTAATAAAAATGATGTATTTTCTTTTATTGATTCCGTTCATTTTCAGCGAATACGTTCGACGTTAAATCGAAAAGTTAATTCGGTTAATTATTAACCGAGTCAAAATCGATAATTAATTTTCAAACCGTTTATTTTATAAACGGACATCATTAATCGGGATTAATTATTAATAGTTAAGAATGTTTGAAATTAAGTTTAAAGCCGAAACCAAAGTTAAGTTGTAAAGGCACAAAGTGCACCGAGTATGCACGCATACACGCACGTTAAGCATAGCCATGCGTGTAGCTGCGCACGCGAACGCGCAGCACGCATCACCGCGCATAGCGCATAGCGCGCGCGGCACTAAGCTATACCCATCATTAACTTATATTAAGCTAAACATCATGATCAAGCTAAGCAAACCCAAGATTGTCTCCTTAGTAATTACCGTGAGAGTTTCTACCAAGGATAAGTCTATGCACAAGTTGCTAGTGCTAAGTCACCTACTTGCTTGGACATGTGGCTCCATGTTAAGCATCATGTGATGACTAAGCCTAGTGTTGGGACGCCACCTAGCTCTCCCTTGTGCCACGTAGGTGATGACAAGGCGTAGGTTTTGCCACCAAACCGTGCGGTGAAAGCAAGTGGCGTGACCTCATTTACCCTCACTTAAGCATCTCCATTCACCTCCTTTCATTTTATCTATTAATATAGCAATTGCCGTGAGTTTTCCCCATGCATTTCATCCAAAAACCGAGCCATTTTCAGAGTACAAATTGAGGGAAAAATAGTAAGGAAATATTGTAGAAAAATTATACAAAAATAGCCAAGGAAGGTGGAAGCATAAGGGAAGTAAGCACACACGCGTTCGAGCATTGTATACGCACGCACATCATCGCACACTTCTCGACCGAACTGAAGGGTATAAATTCCTTTACTCTCTTTTTATGTAGTTAAGCTCATGTTAATGAAGTCATGTCGAAATCATGTTGTTCGGTCTATGTTTTGATGCAAAACGGCCTCGGAAATATGTTTTGATGCAAAACGGCCTCGGAAATGCTATATAAGTTCTCTCCGAGTAATTTCAAAATAGAACCGGCAAGTCCCGAGTAATCTATGTATTTTCCGTCATTTTAAGTCAAAACATAATCAGTCATGTATGGATTGCCAGAAAAAGTAGCCGGACGGCCGGCAAAATGCCGACCGTGATGCCTACCGCGCACAGTGTGCGCGCAGGCGCGCCCGGCAGGCCCAGCGAGTACGCAGGCAGCGTCCGTGCGCCCAGTAACGCACACGCGTACCCAGTACTCGGCAATCAAGCCCTGCGATGCCGCAATTATGCGTGTAGATGTGCGCAGTGCACGCCAACACGCTCGGCAGCGCATGTCCGTGTTCACTCGCGTACGCCACAGCGCAGCACGCACCCAGCAGCGTGTTATGCGACGCTAGCACG